ACCCCCTTCGGTCTCTTTCAGTCGGTATCGACTCTATTTTACCCTTACAGCTAAGCATACAGCCATATCAACAAGAGCCACAAAGACAACAACAAGAACATACAAGCATACCAACAAATGTCACAAAGACAACTATCACATACAGGTATATCAACAAATGTCATAAAGATAACTATCATCCTATAAACAAAATGTAATGGGACAACATTGGTGTCTTCGACCCATGAATATAGTGAAGAGACTCACCTATCAAACGATGATCAACTGCAACTGTTACTACTGCTGCGAACACAGATGCTAACAACCACCTATACATCCATATAAAATACATCCGTAGTTTTTCTTCCAATACTAGTGGTTTGGCCAAAAGTTAGCGCAAGTCAAAAGTCAAAGTTGACCCTCCACGTCATGGCCATCCTAGGCAACGTCCCGACGTTTAAATGACAAGATAGTCGTCGTGGCCATCGTTGGCAACGTCCCCTATCGCCACAACATGGCATCCTAGGCCATGCAGTGGGAACTAGATCCAAAATATCTTAACGAGTTAAATCGAATCCTCCAATACCATAGGTTCTAAAGTCCAAATCTGATCATTTCTAATGCCCAAATGGATAAAGTTTCCATCTTTATCCCTTGAGACCCACCAAGAGGTCTAGATCTCAAGTCTTAGATCCAAGAAGGCTAAAAATGCAAATAACTTAATCAAGAAACACTTAATCCATTAAGTCTCAAGCCTATATGCTCCAAAAGAGCTTATAACACTAAGACCATCCTAAAGTTTGATGCTTTTTAGACTTGCATGTCCAATGCAAGTCTTGGACCCAACTTAGGTAAAATAATGGGGTTTTATGACCAAGATCTCATGTATGGCTCAAACAAACCACCAAACTTCAGACCAAACCATAAACTAGTTCAAATGATCCTGAGAATCATAAAGTTGCAACCTTTATGAAGTCTCACCATCTTATCCAACAAGATCAAGAAGAAAGTGGGAGAAAATGCAGGATCTAGTACTCTATAATAAAAAAGGTGGAACCTTGAACACTTACAAGGGTCCAAAACTGAGCTAGGTAGGGAGATAAAGGCTCTCTTGCTGATCCTTGGCTTACTTCTTCTTGCTTCTTCCTTCAAGACCTCTCAAAACACTCAAGCAAGCTTCAACAATGGAGGAAAAGAGTTAGGGTTTTCTTTAGGATAAAAGAGAGTGGTGAAGGTTGAGGGTAAGCAAATCCTAGCTTCCTCGTTCCTTTAAATCGGTGCAAAACCTGAAAAATTAGGTTTAAGACATCAGCGGCAGCCACGTTGTGGCATGTCAAGAAGACCCGCGACTGGAAAATGCCTCACGACGTCGTAGCCATCCTTCCCATGGCGTGGCGACTCACCAAACTTCAAATCTTTAATTGAATAACACGTACCTCAAAACCGAATGTTACATGAAAGCTTTTTGAGAGATTATGTTAAGAATAAACCTCACAAATTTTACAGTTCTGAGATAGTTTTTTTAGTCCATTATGGCAACCACTTTTATTATATTGATTCTTTTTAGATTTTTGTGTTGTACATGAACCCTTTTTATTCAATATTGTTCTATCATGAGTAGATTAGATTTATCGTTCAAGAAAAAGAAAAAAAACCCTTCAAAGCTTTTTTTTTTTTGACTAATTAATTTGTTTAATTTCACCCCAAGATTAATATCATGTATTGTAATATATTGATTTTATTTAATTTTATTGTTAAATACTTAAAAAAAAAAAAATACTACATGTGTTTAAAAATAACAAATTAAATGAAGAACTTTATCACACATTTCGTTGAAATGTTGATAAATTTGTTCATTAAATTTTTTATGGTGATAATATGATCTAGAGAAACCAAATATGCTCTTACCTTTTGTCTCGATCTAGACAAATGTAAAAATCAAAAGAATAGACATAATTAATGAGAAAATGACTCTAAAGGGTAACTAACTGTTAACTTTGTTCTCATTTGGTCACTTTCCTTTTTTTTTGTACCCAATATAACATCGAACTTGTTGTTTGTATTCACAATAACCCTTTTTGCCTGACTATCGCATGTGATAGTCGGTCAAAGGGTTATGGTGAGCACAAACAACAAGTTCGATGGTATGTTAGGTATAAAAAAAAGGAAAGGGACCAAATGAGAACAAACTCAACAGTTGGTTACCCTTCTAAGTCATTTTCCCTTTACTCAATTACAGAAAATCCCACGTCATCTCCTACTCATATTAATGACTTTACGAGATCATTCTTGCTTCTCTTCAAAACATAACCCACGAAAGAACATTATTCATACATGTACAACTTTGTAATGCACTTGAATACTTATTAGGGGAATCTTTATTGAGAATGTGCATTTCATGACTACATTTACATTTCTAATCAAATGATTTATCGTATCATGGATTCTGGACAAGTCTACAAACGAGACAAATCACAAGTGCTGTAATTTTTGAGTTTACTTGGTTTTAAGATCGAATTCATGGGATAAGATACAACATCAATATGTACAAGATCATGCAACTTTTGTAGACACATCACCATAATATATCTTGAGGTAAACGTTTATGCTGATAAAGATACATCTCATACACAGTCATATCCTTTTACAAAGAGTTGTTGACAGCTAACCACAGTAAGCATAACATAGTCTATGTTTTGGCTACCCCTCCGAAACGCTCTTCATGTACGTTATGGCCTAAGAAGGTTGCAATCTTTGATACTTTTGCAGCTTTAATTTCATTTAATTTTTTGGTAAAAATGACTCAGGATGGTAACCACTATTGACTTTGTTCTCATTTTAACATTTTCTTTTTTTGTACCCAATATACTATCGAACTTGTTGTTTGTGTTCACCATAAGGGTTATGGTGAACACAAAAAACAAGTGCGATGGTATATTGGGTACAAAAAAATGGACCAAATGAGAACAAACTCAACAGTTAGTTCCCATGATTAATGCATTCACTTGTCATTATTATATATAAAATAAAGAAAAATCAAAAGAATAGACTAAGAGATAATTAATGCATTTCGCATATCATTATTTTATATAAAATAAAGATGGGTAGTAACAAAAGGATGTGGATATTTAAGATCTCTATGATTTAACTTAATATGTTTTTCATCCTATAATTAATACAGAGGGTTGTCCCAAACATATTTTGGGCTCACGACAAAACTAAAATAGAGGCCCTCCATTTACTAGAAATGCATATGACCAAAAAATTAGTTTAAATTTAATAAATAATTTATTGTTAAGATTTGAACAACATACCTAAGTTTTTCTTGCCGACCGTACTACAAATTTATTATGAGTATATTAAAAAATGTGTATATAAGCTAACTCAGAAAAGTTTAAATTAAATTTTGAAAAGCACATGTCAATTATAATCTTAAACATAAACACTTTAAAATATGAAAATTTGTACCCAACTAAAATAGATAATATTAATATATGTTGTGTACTGTATTTATTTAAATAATTTTCTTATATAAAACATAATGGAAACCATGGTAAAATATGAAAAATCGTAGAAAACGCAGGGGAAAAAGATGTAACTTATCATTTGAATATCCTATATAAAATATGAAGGAAACATGGTAAAATATGAAACAACCTGAAAAGTTCAAGGAAAAGAGATGTAAATTATCAATTAAAATGAGATACTCATATACAACACTAATAAAACACTAATAAATTAAAATCTGTTCTAATAAAACAAAATTATTTTTGCCAAAAGGCAACTTCTTATTAACTATGCCACATGTTAATTTCTAGGCATTTTATACTTATTTTTTTCCACTTGTAAATTTCTTATTTTTTTCCTTTTCATTAAATTGTCATATCATTATACTTGGCAATATGTTTTTTTCTCTGAATTCTGTGTTTTCTAGATATTATGCAGGAGCAAATCTATTTGGTTGTAAACATTTTATATTCTAGAAAGTGTATTGCTTTCTCTTTCATTTAACAAAGTAATGGCAGGGGCAAAATAACTTGAAATCGGACTATAAATTGCATCTATTTAAGTGCGTGGGCATAATTATCAATTATGTAAACGTGCATTGTACCTGAAATGACATTGTAATTTAAAAAAAAATTACAAACTTTCATATGTAATCTTAATAATATCATATGTGATGCAAAGGTAATTCAAAAAGTTATTATGGTCAAAAAAGTCGTTGTGGTCATAGAGCATCATATTTTTATTTTATTTTTATAATTTGTGTATTACAACCATAAGAATTGTACAATATGGAAAATCTAGGTAAAGGGCATTTTCGTCCTTTTATTTTAAATTTCTTTTTCTCTTATTATGAATTGGGTTTATCCCCATAGCTTAATGCATTAGATCAAACTAATATCTTTTTATGTTTGTGTTTCTCATCTTCATGTATCATCATTTCTTGGAATGATGAACCAATCTAATGCATTTAACCAAATGGGCAAGGGGCACATGTACTTGAAATCAAAATACGAACCGCATCTGTTGAAAGAAAAGGAATACACAAAGAAGTGGTGCAATGAAGTTAAAATAATACAGTTGCAACAAATATACATAGCAAGTTAATGGTAAAAGTTCTACAAAAACCGAAAAACTATTCAACTAGTGAAGTTATAGTTTTCTCTTATTTTTGTACTAGTTTTGATTGTTAGTTCAGTATAAAAATAGTATTATCAACAAACCAAAACAAACACGTCTCAAAATTAATGTTCCTAATACTTTGGGATAGTTATTGAAAAAAAAAAGTACACAGAAATTGAAATATTACTTTATAAGGAATATCACATTTATCAAAAAAAAAAAAGTTGTGATGCTTATCATAAGAGATGGGCCGTAATACTTTGGGATACAAGCTGTAGAACCCTCTTTAACGTTTGTTAAGAAACAATGATTATAATAATAACATTATTGAAATGAATAACCACTCTTATGTAAGAGACGCTGATGATGGGAAAGGAGATGACGAACCTTTTCTACTACCACACCAATATTGTCACACTTGATGGGTTGTAAATGGTCTTAAGATCTCCAAGCTTTGGGCAATTCCAAATATTAAGTGTTTTAAGGCAGGGGAGGTGTTGTAAGACCTCTGGAAATGATTCCGCATCTGTAAAACCAATGAGCTGAAGAGAAACCAGAGATGGTGGAAGAAGAAAAGCAGATGATGATGGAGTAGTAGTAGTAGTAGTATTCCTCACATCGTCTGCCACTGCAAATGAAACCACTCCTGAATTTTCGCCAAATAACCATAGGTCAACTAGTGAGGTAGGAAAACTTTGTGGACCCCACTCTGACATGGGCTTATTTAAGCCACCTATCCTTAATTTGCTTAAATTAGGAGGCCACACCCCACAAGGAAAGGAGTAGTCCATACTTGGACAATCTCGTATCCACAGGCATCCCAAAGATGTGAGACTTTGAAAATGCTCATAAGGAAATGACTTTAGATTTTTGCAAAAACAGATATCAAAAGATGTTAGGCGAGACAAACTGAAGTCTTTTGCTGGAAAGGGTTTGGGTTGTAATCGTATGTTATCACAATCACCGACTATCAGTTCAGTAAGAGAGGATGGCTGCTCCTGCACTGCTGAGAAGGTCAAAGATGTGATTGAATCACATCTACTAATATACAGCATCTCAACAGTATTTGTACAATTGTAACTCTCCAATGTCTCACAATTAATAAATTTCACAGATTTAAGTGATTCCATGCTGATCCCAATATTAGTCTCTTTCTTGGCAGATGAAACCAAGTTCTTACAATACCATACTTCCAACTTCTGTAAACTCACAAGACTCTTGCATGCCTCTGATTCTTGTTCCCACAAGTATCTCAGTTCATCACAGCTATGAATATATAGATGTTCAAGTGCCCTAAGATGCAGTAAATCTTCTCCATGTAGTTGGGTAAGTCCTCTAACATTCAACATTTTCAGTTCAATAAGTGACGGGGACAAACCAACCATGGTTCTTAACACTACATTGGAACATCGTGTTATAGATAAAACCCGAAGTGAAGGTATCAATCCGATTGACACTTGAGCTAGTTCAGGACAACTGCTTATAGAGATCTCATGAAGACAAGGAAATGATCTAGGAGTCCTATGGTCGTTGCCACTATTAATCGACCATCTCTGCCAACTTAGCATATCTTCAAATTTCAGAAATTCAAGGGATGGAAATGCGATGCCATGAAAAGAAGCAGTGGATGCAAGTAACTCAAAACCCACGGTCTTCACCTCATTCATGCTTTCAACAATCAATTTCTTAAGAGACCGTAAACATCCAAGTGTTGGTAAATGTGTACTTCTACAACCACATAAAGTAATCTCTGTTAACCGATCAAACGAGGGATCCCCGACCCAACTTGGAAATCTCGTTCCCTTGTTATTCAGAATGTCGAGGTTTTCTAACTTGGGAGGAGGCCTTAATTCATTAAGTACTTCATATTCAATCATCTCATCCCGAGAAGCATAAAGGACATCACTCCATTCCATCACTAAAACATCAAGACCTTTCTTTTGATGTAAGTTGGCATCCTTTGCTTCAACTGGATTTATCACTTTGTCCAGCCCCTTAATCGAAAGTCGGCCTTGAAGATCAGTTAGGCCCTTAAGGTCGGATATGTTGAACCTGTCACCTTCTTCAATAAAGACCTTGGTTAGAGTTTGCAGGCTCGTCAACCCACCGAGCCCTAAGGGCATCCTGTTCAATTTCGGAGTATTACTTACGTCAAGATGTCGCATGTTTATTAACTTTGCAAAACTTTTTGGTAAGCTAGATAACTCATCACAATCATGAACCAACAAGCTCTGTAGATTATAAAGGTCACTCACTTCTTCCGGTAAACTTGTGATTTCAGTACAAGAAAAATTAAGGTACCGTAGATGCTTGAGACTACCAATGGATTCTGGTACCTTCGTGATTATCTTACTACCTTGGTACATGTGATTCAAGCCCACGACACTTAGCACCCTCAGGAATTGTAGTTCAAGAAGAACCTTGTCCAAAAACCCATTGTTTTCGAAACCAACTGACATGACTAAGAAAGTTCGCAAGTGTTTAGCTCTATGTAATTCATTAAGCTTTCTGTATGATCCAGATCTTGGACCTACAAGTGAAAAGTGACGAAATTTATCGAAAGCTTCATTCATATCAGATACATCCACCTCACCATCCAATCTAAAGGAAAACTCTCCTGCAACACTTGTGGCCAAGTCATTTATCAGGTCATGCATCGTATATCCTAATTCGTCATTTGTTGATTGTTGAAAAAAGGACCTTGACTTTAGCTCTTCAAAATACTCATGACCTAAATTCTCCATTGACTTGTTTCCTTTTGATTTGGACAAAAATCCCTCTGCTACCCACAATTGAACTAATTTATTTTTGTCAAACACATAGTCCTTGGGAATTAAAGAGCAATATGCGAACAACTGCTTCAGATGTGGAGGGAGATGATAGTAGCTTAGTTTTAGAGCCGGAAGAATCTTATTTCCATCATCTATATCCCATATCTCACTCTTCAACAACTCCTCCCATTTATCGCCATTTCGATTTCCCTTCAAGGCCCTCCCAAGTGCTTTCAAAGCCAAAGGCAATCTACCACATTTCTGCACCATACCTTCACCAATCAACTTAAGTGTTAGATGTTTGTCAAAGTTTTTTTCACCTAACGCGTGTTGAGCAAATAATGATAGAGCATCTTCGTTTGACAAAACATTCAAAGGGTAAGTTTCTTGTGAGTCCATCACCAATGCAACCCTGGTACTCCTGGTTGTGACAATAAACTCTACTTCCGGGAGCCCCTACATGAAGAGGGCTTTGGAGGAGTTCCCACTTACTGTCGTCTTCATTCCAGACATCATCTAGAACAAGTAGGAACCTCTTTTTTGAAAGTTCTTCTCTAAGGGCAACATGAAGCAGATCTAGATTGGCAAAATCTTTGTTTTGTCCAGTTACTGCTTGGAAGATAGCCTTACTAATGTTAAATACATGGCACTCTTCAGAAACACAAACCCATGCTCTCACTTCAAAGTGATCCTTCAACTTCTCACACAACACTGTGATAACCGCGCTAACAACGATTTCAGCCATTAAATTTTGGAACAAGGAAATATCGTTTCTTCGATTTCAAAGGATACAGATTTGCACATGAAGAAGCAAAATGATAGACTGAACTGAATACAGTGTAAACTAATCAAACTTTACTGGGTTTTCAATATATCTGGAATCTCACCACGTTAATCGATGAATTAGATGTGCAATGGGTTTTCATAGATTACTTTATTTGAATTATCTTTTTATATTTCAACTTCGTTCAGTTTTCGAAATGCTTGGAATCTCACCATCATTAACCGACTAATTTTCTTGTGCATAACTTATTTTATTTGATTTTATTGTATTTTATATTTACTCGGTTAGTGGACTTTTATATATCAGGAATCGCACCACGTTAATCGATGAATAATCAATGTGCACCGTTTTTATTTATTTATTATTTATTGTTTTTACTTTGTTTTAATTATCTTTTTTGGTATTTTATATTCATTCGGTTTTCATGGGCATAAGTTATTTTATTTGATTTGATTTGTATTATGTTTCATCTTCATTCTCCGGTTTTTTTTTAATTATCTTTTTTGGTATTTCATCTTCATGCGGTTTTCATGGGCATAAGTTATATTTTCATGGGCATGTTATTTCATTTGATTTGATTTGTATTTTGTTTCATCTTCATTCGGATTTCATGTGCATAAGTGTGAAACTCCTTTAGGCTTATCCAGTAGTCTCGTGATTTCGATAACTTTTCATGAATGCAACTTTCACTTATATAATACCTTTTTATTTGGTAGCTTTTTGTCATTTTAGACAGCAAAAGCACACATCCTCTAATACTATTGTGTCCTTATTTAATATTCACTCTTTTAAAATACTATTGTGTCCTTGTTTGTTGGCCTGTTTTCCTCCTAACAAATCAGATTTCTAAGTGAGCTTCTAACTCTACACTAAATGCATCGATTTGGTTGGCCTTCTAGTAAATCTCAAACACTAGAACTTAGATTCCTTGTTCTTCTTGTATGTCTGTGAAATTTTACTTTTTATTTAGGTTGAAGGAAATGAGAATCATCATACTAAAGTTGTGAAAGTGCTGCAAGATATTTTTTAAATCACAACAGAAGATATGATGAGAAATATTACTTGGTATAAAATATAATATATAAAAACTTACTTTTCTCTAAAAGTACATTGCTATATTATATACAGGATGTTTGCTTGTCATCTACAACAGTGGCTTTAGAATTCTACTATGCTGCTAGGGATGCTCTACTTCTTTATGAAGTTGTTATTCCAGTCAAGGTTTGTAATTATTCTGAAGAAAATGAAAATGTGTATTTATGGTATTGTTGTGGGCTTATAATATTTCATTTTGTGTTATGAAGTTAGAAAGACAGCCGGATGGAATTAACCAGGTTGCTGTTTTTAATCATAATGATTGTCTATATCTATCACAAGAGATTCTTGGCCTTGCATTTGAGGTATTATGAAAGTTTATCTTTATATAATTATATATTTATATTATGTTTTCTTCATCTATCAACTTAATATCATTTAGTTTTGTAATTTTACATAATAAACATGTCTGAATGGCTTCATCCATCCTTTCAACCCAACCAACACATGTTAATGTAATGTAATGGTACATTCAATTCCCTTGTTTTATTTCATTTCTCTCTGATTCCATTCCATCATACCAAACAAACTCATAACTTTATGCCTATTTTTCATAATATATATATATATATATATATATATATATATATATATATATATATATATATATATATATCCATTTTCTTATTTCAGTATAAGTGAGATTTCCCAACTTCCATAAAAGGAGTTGTGTTTATTGATTTGGGTGTAAGATACAAGATTACGACAGAAGAGATATTACAAAGACAAATATAGCTTGTTAAACATAATTTAATGTAGGTAAATTTATTTTTATCTTTCAGAATTCAAATTCCCATCTTAGTTTTTTTTTTCTTAAATAATAAATTTTGTTTTTGTTTTTTTTTTAGACGATTGCTGGGGATGATGGATTCCAAAATACCCATGAAACAAAACGATGTGAATCCACAAAATTTAAGATTGATCAGGTAACTTTTATATTGGGGAAATTTACATAATATGGCAAAATTCACAAGTGATTCACATATGAATTAAATGTGATTCACATGTAAATCACATGTAATTCGCATGTAAATCACAAGTGAATCACATATGAGTTACATGTGCTTCACATGTAATTTACATATGAATCATGTGTAATTCACAAGTACATCACAAGTGTTTCATACATGAATTACATGTGAATCACATGTAAATCACAAGTGAATCACATATGAGTTACATGTGATTCATATGTGATTTACATATGAATCACATGTAACTCACAACTAAATCACAAGTGATTCACATGTAAATAAAAAATGAATCACATGGGTTACATGTGATTCATATGTAATTTACATATGAAACATATGTAATTCACAAGTAAATCATAAGTGATTCACATATGAATCACATGTGAATTCACATGTAATTCACATGTAAATCACAAGTGAATCGCATATGAGTTACATGTGATTCATATGTAATTTACATATGAATCACATGTAATTCACAAGTAAATCACAAGTGATCCACATATGAATTACATGTGATTCACATGTTGTAACATCCCGTTTTAAATAGAGAAAGTAATAATAAATCCGAAACCCCGAGAAGTACTTTTATTATTGTATAAAATTATTATAGCCCAAAATCAAATCATAATTAGCGGGGTGTTGGGTTCGGAAAGCCAAATGTCATGATTTAGAATCTTGGGGGTTAAAGTGTAATTTCGGGATTTGTTTGAAAAGGATTTCAGAAGTTAGGGTGCGTTTGGTAATTAATGTAGTTAAATTGAAAAGATTTGAGGGCTTAAGGGGCTGGTTGGTAATTTTAGGACTTAGTATGAAAGGAAATTATGGGATCAAGGTCTAAATGGTAAATATCAGATCTATATTGAAAGAAGTATGGGAAGGAGGGGCCATTTTGGTCATTATGGGATACATTCTTCTAGGCTTGGGGTATTTAAGCGTGTTATTCCCGTCACCCTCTAACCCTAACCCTAAGAGTGGAAGCTCCAGCCGCCACCTTTTTTTTCTTTGACCTCCGGCGTCGTTGCCTGCCAATGCCAAGTCGTAAACCACCGCTGGAGCTCCTGCTGCCGGCGACGAGGACCACCGGGAAACGAGTGCTTGTGTTTCCGCTGGTTGCTCGCTCGGTGACTGCTCTCCCTTCGCCACCACTATCTCCTCCACTATTACATCGCCGCCAGACGACCATCACATGTCCAACCTCGCTGTCGGATGCCGTCAACAGGACCAAACGACGTTTTTTCCGCCGTTGCAGCTGTTCCGGTGAGAGCCGCCCACTCTTCTTCCTCTATTTCGTTGTGGCCCGCCGTATGTCGTCGTTAATGCAGTTGGGAAGATTTATGTTGATTGCGTGGGATCCCGACTTCTCTCCACCCTCACAGTTTCAGCGCCGCCTTTAAGCACCGCTGCTGCTGTTAATCGCCGCCAAGGCCGTCGCTGTGCACCATCGTAAGGTGGGTGATTATGTGTGTGGTTCTTGTGACAACCTGAATTTTTTTACTTTTAAAGCCCAGTCAATCAACTCAACTGAGTGTCAGACTCATTGGAAATGAGTTCTAGCCCGGTTAAAGGTCATTCTAAGGAGTTTTGAGCCTAATACACTTAAGGAATAAGTGTTAGAAAGTACCTGCTAGAACCACAGTGTAGCAAATCAAACCATAACCTCCTCAAAATGAGTTCACGGCCACAAGACCATGAGTTTACAGCCGTAAACTCATGTGGACTGTAAACTCACCCTATATATTCAAGTGTTGGCCATTTCTTTCATTTCTTTGTTTCCTTGGCCGATTTTCCCTCATTCTCTCTCAACTATCATACAACTTTGACCTTAGATCTTCAAAAGTGTAAGTGTTCTATCCCTTGATTACTTGATACATCTTATTAACTAGCTACATACATTGATTTCATCCACGAAAATCATGTTTGTTTAGATCTTCAAGTTTCACCAAAAACACCAAGAACACACACTAGTGTTCTTGGCCAAAACTGACCGTTTCAAGCTCCTAGATCGTAATTACTCTTCCCTATACTTCATATATAGTTAGGACTCATGTTTAGAGACTTGAAAACATCAAGAAAACAAGGAGAAAAGGAGTTTACGGCCAAGCCATCTCCCTTGGCCGTAAACCCCTTAAAGGGTGCCATTTTGGCCATCAACCCTCCTAGATGCAAGGCTTGTGACCCAGAACCCTTACTTGATGATTGTAGGACCTTAAACTACTTTCATAAACATAAATGGTCATGAGTTTACGGCTGTAAACTCCTTTGGGCCGTAAAATCATCAGAAGCCTCAATGAAGGTGGTCTTTCTCATCCTAGTGTAGAGCAAAAGTCCTTAAAGCTTCCCTAGCCTTCAAAACTTGCACTTATACATGAGTGACCATGAGTTTACGGCCGTAAACTCCGTTGGTCCGTAAACCCATGGTAGTAAACTCATTTTAGTGCCATTTCACATTCCTTGTTGAATCACATGTGATTCCAACACTTGGTCAAAGTGTTTCCTAGTCCCGGAAGGTGTTTCCTTTCATATAGTTGTTTATAAACACTATATTCAAGCCAATATGTGTCATTATATGTCATTTAGGACCTATTGTGTCTCGGGAATTCATTCGTGGAGCTTATCATCCTTACACGTATACCCGTTTGATTCACCCACATCAGGTGAGTTCATATCCCGTAATGAATCTTTTAACTGTTTTAAATGCTTTTAATGGGGGAATACAAGTTGAACACAATGATAATTGTGTAAATATTTGCTATAAACATCTTTCAAAATGTTACTTATGTCTTCTATAAGTGGTCAAAACATTTCAAAAACTATTTTACAGTTATGTTGCTTTTTAATTTAACAAAACTCCGTTTTTAAAATACAAGCATAACTTGGTAGTAAAATGAGTCTTTTCAATATCAGTTCAAGTAGAATACTAGTAAACTATAATGAGTATAGTTTAGGGGTTCAGTTCATACTAGATACAATACTCGATAACAGAAAGAACATACTAAGATACTATAACAATAGAAGATACTAAGATACTATAACAGAACGAACATACTAAGATGATTCCTTAATGTATATATGTTTCGTATACATTTTACAAACGACAAACAGAACAGTCGGGTCTAGTACACTCAGTAGAAAGGGACCATAATGCTAACTTTATGATTCCTTAATGTATACATCAAGGGATATATATAAATATGATCTGACAGGTAATAGGATGTGTGCTCTCCGCTTTATTTCCTGTTCCTTGTTTGGTTGTGGGCTTAGAGCAGATTCACCCAGCCTATTATCTATTCGATCTTAGTTATATATATGTTCCGTATACATTAAGTCATCATAAGGGGTACCAGGTATGGGCCAAGTCATAGGACACTAATTCAATGCACAATTTTCTAGTACAAAGCATACTTTTCAAATAGAATTTTGGTACTTAAAGCTAGGAACTTACCAGTAGAGGGTTTAATCCATTTTATTAAACCAGTATAAACTTAAAGGACTTTAGGTGATTGACTCTATAATACCTTAGTTTATACACCATGGTTATATATCATTAATACCCAACAGGTAGTTGGATGTGTGCTTTCCGCCTTATTTCATGTTCCTTGTTTGGTTGTGGGCTTAGGGCATATTCACCCAACTAAATATCTATTCGATATTAGATTATATATAGCCAGTATAAACTAAGTGATTATAGAAGTAATCACTGTGGTCACTATTTTATTATAAGAAATAAGGGTTTTCTTAAGGGATCTCTTCATTAAATATAAAGGAACTATTACAATTAACTCCATGAGTAACAAGTGAATGCACTAGGGTTATATACAATGAGGACCTAACAAACAATGGGATGTGTGCTATCCGCCTTACCTCCTGTTCCTTGTTTGGTTGTGGACTTAGGGCAGATGCGCACAGTCGAATGTTTTTTTACTCTGAGTTTTATATAACTTGTATCCATTTAGTACACATAGAAAGGATTGTAGAATCATTTTTACGTATCTTTCATCAAAGTAGGAAATATAGGATTTTCTAGGGGAACATGCGAACTTTTCTAAAAACAGAACTTATAACTTACTACATTTCAACTACATTTTCTACAACTTTCTACAACCTTCATACATCACTAAAATCTTATGAACTCACCAGCTTAATTGCTGATAAACTCTTTCAAATAACTTGTATTCTCAGGAAACTAGTAGACAGGTACTCGCTCTGGGAATTCAGAAGATGGAGCAGTATAGCTTCAAGTCTTGTTTTATTATTTTCTTATGTACACTATGCTTCGTGAACACATACTTTGTAAACACTTTCTTTCTAATGAAATGGTTGTTCATTACTTGCTTACTATGATACATGTCTTGTGATACTAAACATGACGTCCTCCACCCTCGAACGTTTCTGCCGTTCCGGTTTTGGGGTGTGACAGTTCTGTTCACGTCAGCGTATGAGTGTGTGAATGCCAGCCATACCAACTATTGACACTACGCTCACACTTTCATCACATTCTTCTTCCCCCAACAACTTCCCCATCAATGCCTCTTTATCCCCTTCCCGACCCATGATTTTGGACTCATCAACCAGTGAATTTTGCTCCAACCGTTTCTCTGTTATATTTGACCTTTCAACATTCACCTTCAAACCAAAATCATTTTTCTGGTCAACAAGATCATGCAATTTGGTGGTGACCTCATCTAGTTTAGAACTCATCTTCCGACCATACATAATGTTGTGAGGAGTGAAATTAGTACAACAATTCGGGACAAGCTTCAATACCTTACTAGTGCTGCTGTTGACACTAGTTTCTTGATTCAACTTGCGTCGCAGACCTTCTGTGGCCAAATCATCGAGTACATCGTCTATGTCGTAAGCCAAATCCTGGAGATCGTTGACCCACAGTTGAACAACCCTCTCTTTTATCTGCTTCTGGCTTGCATCAGCAAGCACGGCTTGTATCGGGGACATGGTTTTCTTCCATTTTTTCAGTTGAGAATCGATTCCTTCCGATCGAGCCAGCTTCATCAAGTCACCAGAGATCAGCTTCTCATAAGCACTGTGATGATGGCAGTAACAACGATTTCAGTCATTGGAATCAGGAAAAGGGAAGGTTTTGATTTTAAATGATGAAAATTGGGAAAATGACTTATAAGCCCAACGAAGTTTTCAAACCGTTCAAAAAACCCAATTATGTTTTGTCTGTTCAAGAAAACCCAATGGACTTAACCTTTCGTCTAAAAATCCCAACTAACTTACACTTTTGTTCACTTCTCATTTAGGGTCAACCGGCTAATGAAAGTCAATGAATGACATGGCTGATTACGTGCAATTAAATATCAAAAAATGACTTGTAAGACCAACAAAGTTTCAAAACCGTTCAAAAAACCCTAACTATATTTTGTTTGTTGAAAAAACCCAACAAACTTACACTTTTATTCAATTCTCATTAGAGGCAACCATATTCATTAGGTATATAACTAGTTGGCAAATGACATGACATTATATTTAATGACATGGAATAAACAGATTAGAATTTCCCTTTATATACCAATTTAGGGCTTGGAGAAGAGAAAAACAAATGTCATTTGTGTTGGATCTCTTGTAATAGCTACTTCTTATTCTTCCTCTCAATCGTTGATGTCCAACTCAAGATCTACAAAGAAGATATTTGATGATGAAAACTCTTGTCGATGTAGACGCCCTTTTCGGATTTGGACATCTAGAATGGAGGATCATCCAGAGATAATGTTTAGCGCTTGTTCGAACAGATGGGTAAGTGTAATTAAAAGCTTTATCATGTCCATTTTAATAAGTTTTTGTTTTTGAAAGATACCAAACAAATAGATAGAATATAGACATGATCCTCCGTTCTAGATGATCCTCCATTTTAGATGTCCAAATCCAAAAAGGGCGTCTATGTCCACAAGAGTTTGCATCATAAAATATCTTCTTTGTAGATCTTGAGTTCGACATCAAAGATTAAGAGGAAGAAGAAGAAGTAGCTATTACAAGAGATCAAACACATACGTCATTCGTTTTTCTCTTCTCCAAGCCCTAAATCGATATATAAAGGGAAATTCTAAACTATTTATTCCATGTCATTAAATATAATGCCATGTCATTTGTCAACTAGTTGCATACCTAATGAATCGGGTTGCCTCTAAGGAGAATTGAACAAAAGCGTAAGTTCATTGGTTTTTTTTCAACAAACAAAAAATGATTGGGGTTTTTTGAACAGTTTTGAAAATTTGTTGGTCTTACAAGTAAATTTGTGATATTTAATTACATGTCATCAGCCATGTCATTTGTTGACTTTCATTAGCCGGTTGACCCTAAATGAGAAGTGTAAGTAAGTTGGGCTTTTTTAGACAAAATGTTAAGTTCGTTGGGTTTTCCTGAACAGACAAAGCATAATTGGCGTTTTTTTTGAACGGTTTGAAAACTTTGTTGGGCTTATAATTCATTTTCCCATGAAAATTTGGAGAAGTAAAAGGGTTGACCGAATACAAATCGCAGATAGGTGCAGGTGCTCGGCGTCATTTTATTATGACTAAATTACTAAATTACATATTCGACCCTTAAATTAACCGTGTTTTTTGGTCTAGTCATCGAGAAGTGCACTTACACAGTCAACTGTTAAACTTATTAAAATGGGGAGTTTTAACAAATATATTTATTAAACTACTTCATTTTTTCTTTATTTTTCAATCTTTCTTATTGTCAATTTTCTTTTTCTTTTTTACTTTTTTCTTTTATTTCAATTTTTTTTAACTATTTTTTTTATTTCTTATAAATATCAGTTTTTTTTTTTACTTTTTTTGTTTCGGTGTTTTACTATCATCCCGAAAAACATGGTGGTGAACCCCTATACATACATGTCTTATCCATAAAAGTTTATATACCATCAACTCAATAAAAATTGTTTGAAATTGATCACCATAACGTTTACGTTTATTTAGACTAAACTGCACAAATGGTCCCTGTGGTTAGCTAAAAATTGTCTTTTCAGTCCAAAAACGTTAGCACCAGAGGTCCAAAATTTTTATTTTGTTGCGAGTTTGGTCTGTTTCAAAATTGAAAGAGGTTAAGATGACTTTTTTGTCCTTTTTATTTTTTTTTCATTTTATTTACTACAATATTTTTTAGATAAAAAACACAAACCACATCTCTCTCTCTCTCTCTCTCTCTCGCTCTCTCTAAAGCAACAACTAACTTCTGTGTTCGTATGGGGGACAATTGTACCACCCGATCAGTTCAGGTAAAATTCATTTCTTTATTTAGTAAGTTTAAAATGTGGGACTTAAGTCTACACAGGGCGTAGATAGACTCTACGCGTTGTGTTAGAAGGACAGTAATGGCGGTCCTTTAGTGGATTACGCGAGGCGTAGTTAAGGCGTACGCAGAGCGTACTCGGCTAAAATGCAAACCCTAAATTCGGGGTTTTGAGTCCTATTTAAAAACATTAACCTCCATAAACCTTTCCCACTCTTATCCTCTATCTCTCCAAACGACCCCTTGAAATCCTAACCCTATATTTGAGCTTAGTAAGCTTAAGAGTGTGTTTTTGAGTGCTTTTAAAGGAAGAAGAAGTTTGTAGTGGTTCTTAGATAGCTTCAAACTTTGTGTATTTGGACCTTATATCTCCTTAGCATCCTCCAAAAGGTATAAAGTTCTGAACTTGATGAATCTATTGATATATCTTGTTAGCTTTAGGTTTATGTCTCTTTTGTCCCATATTCTTGGTCTAGATATTCATGAACTACTCCAGACCTTATGAGTAGTTTTTATGATGTTTTTTAGTGCATGGAGTCATAAAAATGTCATCTTGGTCCTTTCTTTCCTCCCATGCATGGGTTATGGAGCATAGGATCATGTGATAAGTTAAGGTTTTGGTTTTGGGCACTTTCTAGCCATGGAAGGTCATAAAATTGTAAACTTTATGATTTAGGATGTAATTTGGGGTTAGATCTGAGATTTGGATGTAAGGCCTTAAGGGAATAAGTGCTTAATGAAGAAGTTTGGTTTTGCCTAAATACGCAGGGCATACCTCAGGGTACACATCACATAACCTGTTTGATCCCCGTAATTGGGGATAGGACTCTACGACATGCGTAGAGATGGAGTACACATGTCGTTCTCAAACCTAATGTAGACTTTTGAGTATTGAAGTTTGATCGTTAAACGTTGACTTTGACCAAGTTGACTTTAGGTCATTTGGGGTAGTTTTAATTGTAGATTGAAACTAGATCCTTTTTTATTGCATAGGTGATCGGTAGACACAGTATTCAGAGTAGTGACTGGTTTAGCTACTTTCCAATTTGTGAGGTGAGTTTCCCTCACTGTACTCGTGGGTCGAAAGCACCAATGTCGGACCACTAGGTTGTGTTACATATCCTATTTTATAGAATGTTGATATACTGTAATGATATGTTAGATTGGTATATATGTATGATTACCTATATTTGTTGGTTATATGTTTATCTGTTGCATATGTTGACGTAGTGCGGTTAGGTTGAGGAAATACTGCTCTGTGCGGAAGCCAACAAACCCAGGGCAATCCAGAAATAAGCTGAGAGCCAGAAAGGCAAGCCAGACTTATGTTGTGGGATCAGGGGCAATCCAGACATAAGGTGAGGGCCAGAAAGGCAAGCCAACCTTATGTTGTAGGCTGAGAAGTAATCCAGACATGAGTTGTGGGCTAGGTTGGCAATGCAAGCTCGTGTTGTGGGTTTAGGGGTATTCCAGTCCGATGGTTGTGGACCTAGTATGCATGTTGTTATATCTTTTTGTGGTGGTATTTTGGGGGTATCCCACTAAGTTTTAGCTTACAATTTGATTTTATGGTTTTAGGTACTTTAGAGGACATGGGCAAGGCGAAGGCTTGATCGTGCACATCATCCTGAATTTTTATATGACTTATGATTTTGGGATACTCTAATTTATGTTTATGGTTTTGGGAAACTATGTTTTTATGTAACTTATGGATTTTGAAATGTTTTGGAAAACGAAAAACTTTGTCATGTATTTGGGATGTTACATGGATATAGCTAAGCTACTAACGACCAGTTGAGGAATGATTAATTTGGATGGAATGGCACTGCCGATAAGTCCTTCCGACAAGTAAAAGCGACCATAACCACAGTTTACATGCTTATCATGCCAGATTTTAAAAAGACTTTCGAGGTTGAGACCGACACATCTGTATATCGGTTGGGAGATGTTTTGTCCCAAGAAAATTTATCAATTGCTTGCTATAACATAACTTTAGGAGCCAAGTCTTAGGTGAAATACATTTATGAGAAGGAACTTATGGTTATAGTGAAATCGGTGCTCAAATGGAGGCCTTACCTATTAGGGAGGAGGTTTGTAGTTCGAAGGGATTAACAAAGCCTCAAATACATATTGAAGCAAAAAATGATCGGCAACAACTATAAAAAAATAGGTATCAAAGTTGGTGGGATTCGAATTTGAAATTCCATATGTCTCGGTTAGTCGATGTTCTGTCCCGAAAGAATCCTCCACCCATGTGTAACACGATGAGCATTGGAGTTTGGAAGTCATGAGGCAAGCTGAAAGCCGAGATTGATGGGGACGAATTCATACAAAACATTAAAAATGATAAATGGAGGATCCTAATTCCCCAAAAGGCTTGAAAATCTTTCAAAACTACGTTCTTTTGAAGGAATGAATTTGAAGGCGGAAATCATTCATGACTTCCACAACACTCCTATCGGGGGAATCTAGGTGAGAAAAATACGTACCATAGGGCTACCACAGAAGTGTATTGGGCTGGAAGGAGAAAATATATCAGTGGCTATATACGAAAATGTAACAACCCAAAAATCTCGACTAAAAATTTTCTTTAAAACATTACTAAAACCATATTTATAAAAGCCATATCATAAGTCATAACATAAATTCAGAGTATTAATTCAAAACATATTGTCATTATCAGAGTAAAATGTAACGCCCGGTTTTCAGGGCTAAGCATTTTTGACGATGTAATAGTCTATGTCAACTATTAT